CCATGGATAAACCTTAAATCCATGAACACTGAATAAAAACCAACTCTAAATAGAGATCCGATTACTGGGTGTGGCAGGTCTCACCCAAACCGTTATTCTTGTTTTTTCAGGAACAATTTTATCATAGACAGAGAAATTAGAAAAGCAGAAAATCAGCACGTCGTCAAAAAGAGATGCTGCCGCAGCTTTTTAGTAACCTCCCCTTTTTTTCGTGCTAAATAAATGACTCTCAAATAAATAACTAGATTGTGCTCTTTAGTTATAATGCAGTTCCATACTCCCCTTTTAGTATAAGAAAAGAACTGACGTGGGAAAATATAAAATGAAAGTTTGCTTGAATCAAATAAAAATGAAAGTAGAATTGTTTTGGGCCAAGGAAGACGTTTTAACGAGCTTTTATTACCTGCACTTGTTTCCAACAAACAATGTAATGAAATCTTGGATATCAATTATAACCGAGTTCTTTGTTGTATGGGCACGAAACTTAATTAAGTATTTGTATGTGTACTTTGTCATCATTTATTTCTTGTGTTTTTGATAGTTGCTTGAGAAAGTAACCATGCCTTATTATTCTATATATTTCTCACCCATCGTGAACATTATGGTACTTTAAATGTATTTTTATCTTCTATGCAGTAATGAGAACAAGGTTAGGTTAGATATTAACTATTACTAAATAAAGTATTAAATTATTTGTGTGTGCCTGGAGTAATGAGAAAAAAAAATATTGTACACAATCATTTGAGTTCATTATTAATTTCTTTTTTTACTAGTCCTATATAAGAATATGTTAATAGATATGTATAACGTTGTAAGCTACATAATTAAAAATACATATTTACCTTTAGATTAAAAAAAATTATGTAACTGGTTTTTATTTTCAAGAAAAACTGGCTAATATAATTTATAATGCGAGTTAAGTATTTCATGTCAAATATTCTTTTAACTACATTAACTCTAAACTTGCAAAGGATTCCGTCTTATGTTGGAGTACATGGTAACGAAGTGGCAGACAAATTGGCTTAAAAAGGGTACTCACACGGAATTGTACCATAATGTACCAATGTGCGGCAGTATTATAGAAATTCAATACAATTATAAATGGAAAGAGCATTTCAATAAAATATTCAAAGGCAAAGGAATTTGGTATAAGTCTATTCAATCTGACCCACTTCGTATACCTTGCATGATGTAATTTTTACAGAGATTTAGTTAAAATATTATTAAGATCAGGGTACATTCTATTACACGAGTTTGCATACTTAATGCACAAAACTGAATCTCAAAATTGTAAGGTGTGTGGGGTAGGGGAAGACGTGCAACATGTTCTGATGGAATGTGTCAAGAACTTTAGGGATAGAGAAATTCTCATGGAAGCACTGGAGCTAAACCCGTGTGACATAGGAATCCCCTAAATAATTTAGTATTCTCTGTCACATGACTAAGCCTAGTTTAAGCTAAGACTAGGTTGTATACATAATTATGTTTAATAGTTGTAAGTTAAAATGGTTACAATGGGGTTGTTTTATCCGAAAAGATAAAAAACCCTAACAAATAGAGAAAAAACTAAATTAAAACTTTGTTAAAATCCTTTACCAAACAGTCAAAACAAAAATAGAATGGACAGGGTATACTCGTACTCGGATGAGGATATATGCTATAATATTATTATTATTATATGTTTCGTGAATTAAATCATACCATACGCCTTTTCTTGCTGAGTGTACATCCGCATTTCTACTATTACGAACTATTACGAATATTAAACTTTTTGATATCTTTAAATAAATTAAAAATTAATGTATGTTAAGATAGACTGGCTATAATAGTGGTGTCTAAGAAGTTATCTTTATAAAAAAAAAGAAATTGCTGTATATCAGTAAGCATTTACATAACTTGAGAATGGCTAATGATTAAATACGATTTGACTAACTCCTTTTTATTATCCTTTTAATTATTACCATTCCGAACAATTGAATAAAATCGAATGAGTTTTTGAATTAAGTAACATTAGTAGAGTTAACCGGAAAATGGGAAATATTCTGAAAAAAAACAAGAGGTATTTTTTCACAAATTAAATCAAGTTTATTATAATTTTCATAGACCAACATCTGTAGAGTCAAATGTTTAAAATGTTGTGTAATAAATTCCTGAATTACATTTTTAGCTAAATATATAAATATGCGATATTTTATTGTATTTATATCAGTCGTCTATTACTAAGCTACTAAGCCCTACTTTGTTAGGGTCTAGAAGGCGCTGTGTGAATGTGCCAGAATATTATATTAATATATTAAATTATTCCTGTTTTCTTTTTGCTTTTAACGTCATTACAGGTTCATTTCATTTGTTCCATTCTTTCTATATAATTGTTTTATGGTCTATGTAACGAAACACAATTAACAAAAAGTAAACCATTCTTTTCAACAAGCAAAGTAGTATTTCTAATTTCACAGTAACCATGGTTGAAATTGTTGACTGACGGGTTCCAAATAGCTTCGTAATTTAAAAAGAAACAATATTAGTAACGGTAACCCGAGATTAAATTCAAAGCGAATACTTCGGAATTTAAGACAATGGCGCCGATTCTGTAATGATCTGTACTAAACAAAAAAAGTTGATCTCAAAAAGTGAATTCGTACATGTTGTATGTTTCTGTTATAATATATATTTGTGTAAATTTATTTCTGAAACCTACATATATAATAATTATATGTATATATAGAATAACAAAACTCAGTCGCTTCATCATATATTATTCCTTGCTCTTCAATACTTATACTCATTAATCAGGCAGATTAATAGAAACCGATTACAATTATAATAATAATAATAAATATATTTATTTCAGACATTGGTGCATAAATGTGTTAGTAACAATTATCTGTCTATATAATATATAATATAATATTACTATATAATATTATATTATTCCGTGTGGTGACGGATTAAGAATACAGAGTGTCACCACCCCTATTCATCCCGTGGGTGTCGTAAGAGGCGACTAAGGAAGCAAACTACGCAGGACAACAGCACTGCAGAGAGAAGGAAAACTTGAAACAAACCCTATACCAACCCGTCTGGCCAGCGTGGTATAGTAGGCCAAAACCTCCTTTCTAAGGAGAGGCCTATGTCCAACAGTGGACTAGTAAAGGCTGTTGATGAATATAATATTATATCTATCCATATAAAATGACTTGCCCTGACTGACTGATTTATCAACACAGAGCCTAAACGGCTGGGGCTAAAACTTTGGCAGCTGATGCTTTTTATGTTGTGCTAAAAATAACTTTACGAAATTTTACCCTTAAAGAGGTAAAATAAGGGATGTACGGTTGTATGGAAATTAGTCATTTTAAAATATAAAAACATTGAAACATATTCACGCTAGCACACACCGGATAATGGCTAGTTAATAATATACATATATACGGTCATTACTCATACCCATGATATAGGTTTTTTTTTTATAAAATACCATTTAAAAAAAACTCTTATTACCGAAGAATATTCCTATTCTTCGTCGTCCTATTGGATAGGATGGAAGGCAAAATTCTGCGTAACCGTATAAAACTGTTCTGTCATATTCATTGTCAAAAAGCGCAGACTGGTTCCATGTCTAATCAGTTTCATGGTACAGTCACACTGCATCTTGGCCTCAGGAATTGGCGACAAATAAATGAAACAAGAGCTTTATGTTACCGTTACTTTTGCATGAGGATCTGAAGGCCGGTACAACTGCGCAACAATTCAATCTCAATTGAATTTCAAAGTTTATCTCTTTTTCCCTCTTAAGAGGACAGAAAAATCACTTCAACGATATGGCTGTTATAATAATAATAATAACCTCACACGTCTCACACACGGCTGTCTGATCCTAAACTACTGCCTGTACTACGGTAACCATACTTACCTATATACGTACGGCACGCTAACATAAACATACTTAAATATTTATAAATACAGATATATTATAGATAAATTACACCCCGACACAGAACAAACGATCGTGCTCATCACTTTGTGTGATTTGTCCTGGGTGGGAATCGACGGCCTCCGGCTTAGCAGTCAGGATCACTAAACACTAGCCCAGCAGGCATAGTGTACATATAGTGGTGGACAAATTTTGTCTGCAATCTTGAACCTAATCAACTAGGTACTCTTTTGAGACCGGACTCTCCCTAGATGTTCCAAGTTATTTTATCAATTTTCTAACTCTTATCATCCCTGTCTTTGATATTCATAATAAGCAGCTTTTCCAGGTTGTTTTGTTTCAATCTAAGTTTAAACTTCTCGCAACGCTTACTTGGGTATTTCTCATGAAATTTAAAAATTTGAGATATTATTGAAATTGTTTTAATTTTTATAAACATAGATCATTTTTTGCAGAGATCAAAAAAGTTGCTTTAAGAGATCCATTTAGGAGTATTGGTCTTCCATATTTTTGAATATAATCTCTAAAAAATGATGTTTAAAAAGAAAATAAAATTAGGGAATGATTAACAGAGTGAGGGAATGATTTATTATTACATTATAATGAAAAACATGTACAGATAAAGGAAATGATGTAATTGTTATTTTATTAAACAATAAAATATCATATTCTAAAGAAAATCAACTCAAAGCTTTGTACTTGTAGTCAATATAAATATATATAAACTCAAAAAATTAACAAATACACTATTATAGAGGTAACAAATGTTTTTATCTTCATACTTACTACTACTATTTACTTTTAAACTTTGTACTTAGCATTTCTGCAAAACTTAAAATGTCTTTATAATTATTTATATATTAATATGTAATTAGTCTTTTCTTGCATTAGTTTTTTTTGTCTTTGAGATCAATGAATTATTCAGTCTTCACATCACTTGTAGAGTTTTCTAACTCTGTAATAATGTAATTCCCCCTCTTAACTAATTTTGGTGTCTTTATTTTCTGAATCACATCTTCCCAGCTATATAATTGCTCATCTTTAATATTAGGCCATCTCCAAAACTTCAAACCTTCATGCACCTAACCATTAAACCATCTTCAAAAACAGATAAAACTTCCCCGGGATACTTTGCCGTACCCCATTTCATCAGGACATAATCTCCAATGGTAGCAATCTTATCACTATCTGAGCCAACAGTAGATCCCACATTTTCTAAATCAATTGTATCATTTTCCTTAAACAATCCAGTATGACCTTGAATGCGTGAACACGACGCTAAAGACAGTTGGTGATTATCGTTCATTATATCCAATTCCATTGACTTTTGCGGCGATTTGTTACGCCTCTTAGTAAATCGATTACTTTGGTGTTGTTGAAAATATCCCAAATGATAGTGGGTACAATCTTCTTCGCAATCTATGCATGAAAGTCTTCTGCACTGTAAGGTGTTGTTAAAAAATACGAATTGGCGTATTTTTTGTGTTCCCCGGAAAGTAGGAATAGTCCTGGACTGTTTTATGAGATTATCCATCAGTGAAATATCTGCTGTGGTAACTTCAAACAATAAAATAGAAGGACACCTGGATTGAAGGATAGGTTTCAATGAATTCAGGTCTACGATATCGTGGCCTTCTGCCACGACTTTATCAGCTGTCCGTTTCAGGGTTCCACCGACACCGTCAGGCGCTCCCTTACCGTGCCCGGGTTCATACATTACATTCTTTAGGAGCGCATTTACTTTAGTTGCAGGCGCTTCTGAATCAGTTTTTTGTGTTTTCAGTCTCAAATACCTCTTCTTGTATTTTTCGCTTAACTTCACCGCATTCTTCATTCTTTTTTCCAAAGTTACAATCTTTGCATACAAAATAGCTCGTCGCTTTCGCATCTGTCGTCTATTTCGAGCAGCTACATCTTCTCTAATTTGCTGCACAACTGATATTGGACTTAGTGGGGGTGTATCATCAAGTATTCTTTGTAAATTTCGGTGTGCTATAGCTTTTTTATTCCTATATACTTTACTATTTTCTTTCCATTGTTTTCGCTTTTGTCTATGTTCTCTAGCATTCATATGAGTAACTGATTTTACCTGACCCTTCTCTTTTTTCTTTAAATATTTTAATCTTTCTTTTTCCCTCAGTTTTTCCAAAGATTCAGTATTATTTTTCATTTTTTCTCGCCTTTTTCTATCATACTCTTTCTTTTTTATTTTTTTTCTGCATCACTCAATTTCTTTGGTCGTGGCATTTTTCTTCCACATATATGTACCTGTTTCAAATTAAATACCATGAAATACAAATTACACGAAATAAATAAAAAATCTAAAATACTGTATAAATCATTCCCTCATACAGTCGTAATTCCCTCACTCCTAAATGCAGTGAGGGAATGACTGTGAGGGAATGACGAATTTTAACTAAAGCTATAAAAACACACACACATTACCTCAATTTGCTTGTTACATTTTGAATATGCATTTTACTCCCAAAAACTAATAATAATCACAAATTATAAACATATATACAAAAATGCTTAATACATACATGTAACGTGAGGTAATGATCGCCATAAATGTAACTCTTAACAATTTTTAACATGATATGTTTTTGCACAAACTTACCTACGGTTGAGAAGAAATCGGCATCTTGAATTATTTTAGAGTGTTGCCAGGTACTAAAAACTTAAGGTTGCGTTCCTAAATATCGTTCGATACGTTCAGAAATCGAATATTCGTAATAGGGTGAGGGAATGATTTTATTTGGTGGGACATATTCAAAATCGAATTATCGTTTTGATAAATTCGTCGTTGTAAGATGAAAGCTTTTATAGACAATAACAAACATCTTTAAAATATATTAGCATAATTTCATTATTAAGAATATTGATATATTTGAGATGAATAGGCATTTTAGTAACGTTGTTGAACTAAGGGACAAGGTGGGGGAATGACTTTCACGGTAACAAAGTAGTCATATCTTTTTTTTCTTTAGAGGTAATACGTTTTCTTTTTAAACAATAGTGTTATAGACAGCGTGCATTGAAATAAAAAAAAGACTTACTTAGTTAATGCATATGACTCGGTACTATTGACTCGGGAATCAAATTTCGAAATTTGATGAGAAATACCCACTTACTGGTCATATTATAGTCCTAGATCCTTGGGTTCTATTATATTAACCCTTGCACCGCCTGAGTCGGATTTATCCGACAAAAAATTTCGGGCTTATTCCGCCTGAGTCGGGTTTATCCGACACAAAACCCTGTGTATTATCTATTCAATTTAATATCGTAAATTTACTAATATTATCCCGGAGAAAGTGTATTGACTTCCAACGCCTATGTCGTATTTATCCGACAGTAGTGACGAGACATAATGTTAGAATTTATAAGATATGGACAACTATAAATGCAAATTTCACATCCCTAGACTGTGTCCTTTTCGCCAGTATAGCCAGCGCCTGCGTCGGATAAACACGACCGTTCATGACGTCACAACCGAATTGAGCCGTATGAAATTTTCCATTAGTTGCATGTGATTTTTGTGATATAAGTTAGTTCGTGTTTTAAAAACTGAAATATATGTAATTGTTATACTGATTAGGTACTAGGTACTGAGAAATGAAAAGGCGAGTTTCATTCAATATAGCTATAATTCAGTATAAGAATACTTAATTTAATTGAATACCTACTAATAAATCGATCGATCGATTTTATTTACTTACAAAAAAATTCGGATATTTTCATAAAGTATGTATGCAGTTTTAGGCAAGTATGTACGTAGTTGTTAGTTAACCAAGCTCGTAAATACAAATATCATTATTATAGCGAAATATCGACATTGCAAAATTTACCTACAACAACTCTATTTGTTGTAGGTATTTATTGTTCGATTCAATGTGCCGGGCGCTGGGGGCACGCCAACTGATAAAAAGTCGGGCGGTTAAAAGGTTAAGTAATGTTTTGTCATCATATCCTACAAATCCCTGTCCATCCTATCCCAGGGGAAAACACTTCCCCCAGAGACGCAATGAACCTACTTGTGTCGATTGATTTTAAATATTGCAGGTGAAGGTTATGGCAGAGAATGTTCAGTATCCTTGACCGTTCATATCGTATGCTCAAGAGCCCCGTGATATCGATTTCACTGAATAACTTAAATAAGTAATGGTATGCGCTTAAAAAAAAGGTATTTGAAGTTACCTGATGTCTGCATTAAGTTTTCGTGATGTATTACTGTAGGCATATTTATCTTCAGCATCATCAGCCTTTCAAAGACCACTGCTGGACATAGGCCTCTCCTTAGAAATAAGGGTTTGGTCTACTATACCAGACCTTTGGGTATAGGGTTTGTGTCAAGTTTTCCCTCTGTTTGCAGTGCCGTTGTCCTGCGTAGATCCCTTGATCCCTTGGTCGGCTCCTACGACACCCACGGGATTAATAGGGGTCGGCTCCTACCACACCCACGGGATTAATTTTGGTTATAAACTCTTTACTTGTGGGATACTGTGACTAAACATCTAGTCTGGTCTTTATCAGTTAGAACACGAAGAACACTTTAAGATGTTAGTAGAAAATTTACTTTAATTTTAGAACAGTATAAGTGTAACCCGTAATAATGTTCAGATTTTATTAATTTGATTCGTGTAATTGATCTAGCAACTGTTGATTTGTTGATGCTAGATTTTCTTTCAGCTTTATTACAAGTTTTGTTTAATCAAATCGTCTTCTAAGAACGTAACTAAAAATTATTTACTTTTAAAATAGATGTGACTTGAGAACCAATTCATAAATTGTCCTTTCTAATAAACATTTAGTCTTATCAATATAGAGTCATTATTATACAATCAACGTATGTAGGTCGGTGTTGGTATGCGGCCGGTGTGCGTACAAGGAATTTAAACAATTATGAGGAAGACCAGACTTATAAATAAATACCTAGTTATGTCTGTAGAAGTCTAACCTACTACTTGTTAGTGAACAATCTTTTTTATTTTCTAATATAGGTGGTCAAGGAAGGTCGTAACAAACTCCCCTTACACATACATCATTTACAACCAGGGTTTAATTGTGACATGATTTCAGATCACATTATAAATAAAAAACTTAGAATAATTAAAGTGATTTTATGTTTGTATCGAGAAAGTGCATGTATAGTACCATCAAATTTTGTTTTAAAAGTCATGCAAGTATATTGTGTAGTCAATGTACATAGAATATAAGGTACCTTGTACGTAGACTAGTTCGAGGAAACTTTCATTTGAAATTCTAATCGCGATTATTCAGTTTCTCATTCTCATTCAAACTTGGTAGGTGGCGCCTCTATAGACCGCACGGAAATATTCTAAGTGACACATCATTAATAAAGCATTCTTTAGTTTTAATCGCAGTCAATCGCAGCTTAGCTAAACAGAGAATTGTATATTATACCTCTAAAGAGTTGACTCAAACTTGAGTTCTTTTTTTAAATGCAGATATGTCGGATGACAAAAGGAACTTTTTTTAAAATAAGAGTAAAATTTAAGTAGCGGGTAAGGATTTAAAGGAAAGATTTTCCTTATTTTGAAATACTTTCTAATAGACCTGATAAGGATATATCAATGTTACTCTTGCACGCGGAATAAATATCATTTTTTCTATACAGTATGCACATGGTCAAAACGTATTTTTGATCACCTAGAAAATGAAATGTGCATGCACTTACAAGCTTCCAAATGTTTTAACATTACTTAATATTTTTATTAATTAAAATATATTTTTTACTTGCAGAATGGGTTGACATCTTCGGAGGCTAAATTCACAGAGAAGGCTCTTGAAGAGATCAAGGTTGGTATTATTTTATTACGACCATTTTTTTTTACAAAATTGAACGCGTAGTTTGTTTCGTAGTGAATATGTCTAAAATTTCTTTCTCAAGCAATCGGTGCTCATTAAAATTTAATAATTAAAAGTTTAATAAAGTGACATCTATAATATGTTGTTGAGATGTCATCGACGTCATAAATGCTACGATTTCTCTGTAGTACTTCAACGTTTCGTTAGATGGCGTGAATGTTGGTAGTCAAAACTATTGACGTTGCTTCTGATTCTGGGGAAAGTGTACAGATGGCGTTAAAAAAACTTTTTAAGTTTCCAGCTTTTGCGTGTAGAAAAAAGTTAATGATTAAAACAAATATAGGTATCTTGTGTCTTCTCGTACTTTGTATGTAAATTTAAACGAAAGAAATGTATTGTAACATTTCTATCCATTTACTTTTTTAAATAAATTACATTCGAAACCGACAGAGCGCAGACATGGTCACTGCTTCTGGTTTCAAAGTCAAAGTTTTTATTGCGTTCAAGTGTACATAAGGTGTTAATTACAATTTTGGTTCTAAAGACATGAAACCCTGCTAGGGCACAGCAATTTTGTTGGCATTAGGCGTTATCATGTATGTCATTAAATTAAAATATTTATACATTAAATTAAATTAAATTACCAATTATATGATATTATTGTTACAATGAAGAATAACGTAACACTAATTATTTTTCCAATAAATGCAATTTATAAATTTAGTTCTATATAATATTAGTTTTGCAAATAAATTTAAAATTCATTATCACAAACAACAGTATTTATTGTTATTATTATTGTGGCCTATCTTCAAAAAACTCTTGCAGAGAGTAGTATGCTTTTTGTGATAAGTAATTATTTAACTTTTTTTTAAATATGCTATCAGATTTTAAATCTTTAAGTGTCTGTGGTATTTTATTGTATATTTTTATACACATAACATACGGACCCGAATAGTAGATTGAGAGATTGGATATTGGCAGTGCCAATCTGTCTTTATGTCGTAAGCTACGAGGTTGAGGGGGTTTCTACATCTTGGTTCAGAAGGGAATTAGTACTAATCATTATAACTAAAATACTAACCTGAAGCGAATTAGATGTTATATTGGATTAGATGTCTTGATTCAATCGTATCATATCGTATCTACATGGAAGACGATTTCAAATAATTTTGGAAATTTTATGAAATAAAGAAAGTTTGAGTTTGAGTTTGTAGTAATTTGACAGTCAGGTAATCGTAACTGGCAACGTAAAGAAGGAGTGGCTAACGGGGCTGTAAGGTAGAACATATTTGAAGAAAATGTAGCTGATAACTCATAAACATGTTGTCTCTTCTTCTGGTAGATCCTGTGTTGTTCTCAAGTGAGTTAGGACATGTTTGATGATGATGCTGCATGATTGTGGTCCAATGGTTTTTATATATTCAAATTATTTTTTGCTGCTCAAAAAGTGAAAGGTAATCAGAGTTTTCTAAAACAAAAAAAAATGACAATGAATATACATTTATTAAGTAATAATTTTCCATAAAACCTCAAGGAGTTATTAAGCTAACATGCTTCTTTTCATATTCCAAATCCCCATTTTTTCATAGTTTGTATTTTTTTAGGTTTCACCTCAATTCGGTGCTATTAGGTGTTATTTGCGTAGCACGTTGGGTGGTCTACTGAAGTGCACTTCACGCTTTCGAACACACCTTTAACACTCGCGTTCGTCGGTTGCGTACAAACGCGTTGTTTGTTGATGCGAAACACCCACATCGCGTGCTATGACTTGCGAAGTCTCCTTATGTCTATTTTGATATAGGAGGTACTATTCATTGCAAAATTTACTAAAACAATTTTGTACTTTTGATTTTTTCAATTGCGGAAGGCTCAAACTAAGAGCCGATCTACAACCGCAGGTTTCCAAGGTTTTATAAATTTTTACTTTATATAGTTTTTCTTATTAACCGAATTCTGTATAAATATAAATACGTTAACTTTGACATACAAGAATATTTTAATTTATTTTTATAAACTTTAACATTCACGATTTTTTATACTTCTAAACAATATATATATTTATTTTTAAACATATTTTCATTCACCATTTATTAGTGATCGGATTTCACTAATAAATCGTGACTTTATGTTCTAAACCAGGCCCAGGCGCTCTGCAAATAGCAGATATGAGATCATTCCGGTCTCGCCATTCTTAACAAGATTATTTGAGATTACCTTCTAAAGTTTTACCCGAGTCTGTTGCAAAAGCAAAAGATCCGCTCTTGATAGCAAACTTTGTGCTTTTGTAGACATACCTACCTCTTTGCCGTTAAGCCCGGGTGTGTTGATAGGAGTTCCAAACAATAATAAGGTTTCAGGCATCAGAATAAGTTACCAATGTGAGTTAACAATTTTAGCTTTAAATATATATATATATATATATATTTGATATACATAGACTTAACTATGTACAGCGATTAAAGTTATGTATTCCGAATGAGTTACTTTTCTCCGTACACCTTGGATTTGCACCCGTGAGCAAATGTGGGGATTATAAAAATCAGTGTGAGTGAACAGTGCGCATCGATTTAACTCAACTTTGCACTTCCAACCGTTGAATGCGTCCGACTATCACACCGTGCGTCGCTCGCGTCGTATTGACAATAGCCATTCAAATAAATATGAACTATCTTCGTCTCGTAAATATAACATTTTACTTTGACATCAGCATTTTCAACCGATAAAAGCAGAAGAGACTTGCAATCTCAAGTTTTACTTTTTATAAGGTTCCATTTCGCAATAATCAGCCCCGGAACCGAGGGGGGAGGGGGTGGGGGGAATTTTGAGTTTCAGGTGTCCATGAACGGCGATAGTTGCTTACCATCAAGTGACCCTTCTGCTCGTTTGCCCCCTTATACCATAAAAATAAGAACGCTAGAGAGATAGGGCGCTATTGTTAAGTTACTGCCTGGGATCGAAACAATCATGGATCCGCGGCTGACAATAATTGTTTTTATATTTACTATACCCTGCTAAACTGCGCTGTGGAACAAATGAGCAACAGAACTGACGCGAAAAGTAGATAAAAACAATCTTTGAAACGGTTTGTGTATCGCGTGTTTTTGTGATCAATCGGAGCAGTACGCTTTGAGTTTTTGAAGCATACACAAATTAAGATAACATTTGATATAATATAGATTATATTCGAAGTTACACTCAGTAGTCTACCATATTACTTTTACTTATTGTAAGTGCTCTTTTTATTTTGTATACCGGCTGCTAGAAAAAATCTCAGCCGTCTTAGGGAGCAAACTGCTCAGGACAACAATGCTGCAAAGAGGTGGAATACTTGAAACAAACCCTGTACCAACCCGTCTGGTCAGCGTGGTATAGTAAGCCAAAACCTCTTTTCTAATGAGAGGCTTATGTCCAGCAGAGGACTATTATAGGCTGTTGGTGATGACGATGATGAGACATTTTGCAGCTATACTGAGACTTTGCAGACAATAACATACTGCCCAGGGCCAAAGAACTATATAGAATTCAGATTAAGAAATGTTATTGGCAATTAGTTAAATCATTATGTGAGTGTATATAATTTTGTGTTGTCTTACTGTTCAATACAAATATTCATCTTTTGCTTGACTTATTATCTTTATGTATAATATTATTCTGCTACCCCTCTAGGTATGTTCTTTGCTGGAGGCGAAATTGTTTATCTAAACGTATTTAGATAAACAATTTCAGTAGCTCCTATGACAGGTAAATTCCGATGTGACAATAGTTGCGATACCCAATAGATTTTTAGTTGATAGATCCTGGACGCTGTCACGGTATTGTTTACGGATAGTTACTTATAATTCCAGTTATATAAACCCCGGATAAACAGGCAATCTGTAAAAGGTATTGGGATAACTTGGATGCGGATTGCAAATTTCATTCGGAGATGCCTATGTGTGCATATTTATGTAGAGTAGTGCGCTACAATATTTTCTGATTTAAAAATAAAAATAAAATTAAAGATACAAAAGTAATGTTACACGGCTGTGTTACAAAAAGTCACGTAACAATGTATTTTGTAGTGTTTAGTGTCACCCTACATCATAGCATTTGAAATATGAACGGGTGGTGCGTACGGGGTGTGAGGGGTTTATGAGACGCGCGGGGGCTCGTAGGGGGTTGGTGAGCAAATATTGGCAGATGTAAGTGGATGGCGGTGCAGCGGCGCCACCCCAGCCGGTATCGCACCGGTCACGTGACACGACAAGCCGTGACGTCATCGCACAAGCACTTGGTATTCGCTTTTAATAGCAATAATAACGTTTAGCTCGTGTTGTAATTCATATAATTTTGCGCCTGCTAAACATTCGTGTGCCATGCTTTTTAATAGATAATCAACTACGGGACTAGATGAGTAAGCGTAAATAATATAATTAGAACATTCAGGTTACTAAAACTCGAATTGTTTTGAGGATCGTGTATCACTAATGTCAATGATCACTTATAAGTAGTCGAAAAGTATTTAATATCTTGTAAACATCTAAGGAAGCTTGTAAATTGTTGTCCTAAGTTTTGTATTCTGAAACAATTCAAAGTGGTGCAAATTTATTGAGATAAGGAATACTGTTTGCTTTTAATTTAGGCTGTGAAAGTTTTCCTGGTTGAGAAAACCTTGCGTCTGTTTTGACAAGCTCTTGGCTGCTTTTGTTTATAACTAAGATGACAAACTTAGTGCTTTTAAGAATCTACTGTATTTTCAAACCTTAACAGACTTTAAATATTGAAACTAGAGTGACATATATAGTTTTATGCATTTAAAATCCATACATAATTATTTCGGATTCCAACTGAAAGAAACTACCCGTTGTCTTCTGACCTCTTCACACAAAAAATTTACTAACGGGAAAGCTATTTTCATCTGAGAAAAAGGATATCTCAATAGAGAAGCCCCGGCCACTTAATTATTGGACCATTCAAACCTTATACCTATCAGCAACTTTACTACTCTTACAAGGGTTTATGCCCAAAACTTTATTGAAATGGAAACTAAGAATGTCCCTGTCGTTTGATCTAACGTGTCTCCTAGATTCTAAATTTTGTTCTTTGGATTCGTGTAACACAAACAACTGTCTATGAATTATTGATTCATCATCATCATCAACAGCCTTTACCAGTCCACTGCTGGAAATAGGCCTCTCCTTAGAAAGGAGGTTTTCACTTATTGTTTATATGCATTTAAATATCGTTACATTATTTTATAAAACTTTTTGCACAAGTACCTACGTGCATCGGCGGACTTAATGCCTAAGGCATATAGTCCGCCTATAGTCCGTCCATAGGCTAAATTAAAGGGACATGCATTATTGTAGAGTTGAATAGTAACAGAGGCGTTTGAAATGCACTTAAACTTTAGAGATATTGGAATTTATTGATAATACTCACTATAAGTATGTTTTCGTCAAAGCGCCATTTTAATACCCAAGTATATACCTGCTACAGCTACGTGAGTTATCGAGAGTACACTATATAGCTTTTGAGTCTTTCTTTTTATTTATTATCACCGCATACGCTAAACTGTCAGCCCGTCTCTACCTATACTTGTGTACAATATTCGCGTGGGCGCTACGTTTGCCTACGTCATTAGCGCGTACAGCACTCTGCGCGTAATAAGTTAATTGAGGTGCAAAAACGTACAGCAACTTGCGATTAACATGGACGGGTTAATGCGATGCCGATAGGCGCTAATCGAACGTCTGTGGAAGTTGCGACGTACGCCTTATAGTCTTTGTAATCTCCGAGAAGTGCTGTGTAATTTAGTTTAGTCGTCAACCTTGGAGGCTCATGATAGCAAAATGTGGTGGAGGTACGGCTTGTGGTCTGTTTTGGGATCATGGAAAGCGTAATGCGGTAGACCATTGAGACCAGAATATATTGCAACTATTTATGTTGAGGCTCACAATAGCAAACCAGCGTCAGATTAAGAATCTTATGATTCTTGTGTGAAATGTAGAATAGCCCGTCGCAGTGTCGCCAACTAACATGTTGGGATCAGTAAATTATTTCATTTGAACTTCAAACGGGCTAGTTTCCAATAGTCCATAAGTAAGTATATACGAAATTAATCTCAAAAATAACGAATATGAAAAGTCGTTTTAAAAACAAAAACACTGGTATCACACACTTACCAGTAGTAGTCCAGCGTAGAAGAGAAAAAATATTTACCACTGCACAACCAGTAGTGAGGTTTGGGGTCAGACAAGGTAATACATATAAATTCTGAAACATACAACAAATATACAGTCTTACATGTTTTAACATTAGTCATAAATTAAATTCGCTGAAAACGTTATAACTTACCGTGTGAGAGCCAAACAGGAAACCGGTGTTAAAAATTTCTTTATATGTTTATTAGCAGTCTGGTTACAATAGTACAGGCTCTGCCTAGATTGGGATCAGAAGGCCGTGTGTGAGATGTGTGAGGATTATTATTACATATACAATAAAAAGAAACAACTGCCGTATCACTGATAATGCGATAATGTCCATCCCCGACTATTCCACCTGTCAACATGTAGATATTTATAGGGAACGTATCATGTAAGAACGAAAACGGGCGGAACAAACAAAATTAGACGCTCGCCGGCTGTCTGTCTGTCTGAGCATATAGACTTAGTAGTATAATCTTACTTAACTGACTGAAGCCTAGGTACAGATATAGGGAATCGATATAATAATAACGTGAATGTCGTTTTACAAAAATACAAACAAATTAATAAATTAAAACTAATCGATTTGAGATTTTTAAGATGGTACCGAACTTTTTTAGACCTGATACTATCATTTAACTGTCATATATTCACTATCGTTACAATTTGTATTCAATGCCACTGTATCAATACCGCTAAAGAAATTTATATGGTTTTTTAAAAATCATTTATTGGTCAGTGCGTTCAAGCGTTTTTTAGTACTAGTTTGACAAAACTCAATTGTTTAGAATTCGTTTTCTAGAAAGTAGTGAATTACATAACTATTTAAGTTAATTTTATACACGTATTACAAAAAAAGTAGGTAGGTACATCGGCTACCGTACTGCCGGCGTATCACAATCAACGTAAACTTTTTAATTTTGAAACTGGTACGTAGCTATACCTGTTGTTGGTATTTTTGCTTTTTTCGTGTAAAATACCGGCAATAATCCCGCTAACGGCCAACATGAAATATTTATCTCGATGACCGCAGCACACCATGTCTCGAAAATCAGTGAACGTTGTTTCAATCAACTAATATACCAACTTTCGTTAGCTCCCACCTCTTAGTAATTCCTGGCAACGCTGCCTAGTTGGAGAAGAGCGAAATTCCAACCCACTCGCACAAAGCCTTCTCTGACCTAAGGATCAGTGAGGGGTCGCCTTTTCTCGCCAACGACCATAAAATCTATTTTAGAGGCCAAATCAAATTATTACGAACGAAAATGACGATTGAAGTAAGTTTTTAGGACCTTTATATTTGCCTGCATCAAGTTGAGATATAGATGAGCATGAATATTAAATATATAATTAAATTACAGTTAGAAACTAAATTAAATTGAATTTCTAGAAATACAGTGTTGGATTCTCTTGAAATAGTGCCCTTGTTCTGTACCACAAAATTGATTACACGAAAGTATGCGTAACCGTAAAATTGTTTTCATATTTTGCGTATAAAATGTCACCGACTTGAACGGGCAGTTCCGTCCGTCGTCGTGATGTATGAGATAGAGGCAATTTAGGAGTTAACGAGACCCGCGGAACACCATTTGGGTCGAGAAAGTTGCAGCGCTAAAATGTCGTTGTAGGCAATACTTTCACTCTTAGAGATTTACTAAAACAGGTAAAAACAAACAATCGATTTTAAAAAATGGTACAAGAACGACATGCTTTACAGATGTTGTAAAAAATATATTTGGGTAAGCTCTGGGTATTAACCCAGAGCTTCGTTCGTTCGTGGGACAGGGCAAACCCCTCATCTATACTTATATGACTTATTAAGTAAGTAGGTATTTAATATAGACTTTAAAAATCCTCAAAGCAACATCTTATCGTTCTTAAAAAGGAGCGTAGTCAGCGCGTCGTGTCTACGAATACATTATCCGCGACAAACGCCCCGACTGCACTTGTAAACGGCTTGAAATACAACTTTAGACCAAACCCCGTGTTTTAAGACGTAATAATAATGGTGCAAAAATTTATGTCATTTTTCATTGTCTTTGTGTAATAAACCATGCTTTAAAAGCCACTTATCGTTTTTCTAATGACGAGTTTGATGGTAGGTAGTCTAGGCTTGCAAATCACTGAAGGCGTTTGAACTAATTTGGTTTTCATAAAACAATAACTACATTCTAGGGCTAAAGTTTTCCCATTTGACGGAAAACGTTAAAATTTTGCTTTTCTGGAAAGGGGAAAAGTCCGACAAAAACTGTCCGTTTATGACTTTAAAACAATGACAGACAAAGTTATTTATTTAAAAATTTAAAAAGACATCTATTAGTTGGGATATTTAAAATACGAATTTCATTAATAAGTTATCAATTTATTTATTTAAAAATTAAACAAGTCGTCTATTAGTTGGGAAATTTAAAATAAGAAATTCATTAATTAGTTATCAATTAATAAGTTTTAGCATTAGCTATTGCCAGGTCTATTTATTATACTGACATTTCTAAACATCGTTGTTGCAGAGTTCTCTGCGTGCTTCAGAAGCGGACAAGCGTCGTATGATGGATCGTATTGTGAAACTGGAAGACGAATTACGTGTTCTGAGAGTGACCAATGGGTTAGTGCACACACCTACCACCACTTATAACGACCTACTCTTCCATATATGAAAAGTTAGAAGATTTGTTCACCAATTCGTAATTTATTTCTTGTTAACTGTACATATAGGCCCGAATTAGGGTTTTTTTTTTTAATTGGGACGACAAAATGTAACGAACATATTTATTAGAACGAGATTTTTAACATCAATTTTGTAGGTATAACTTTAATTCTTGTTATATTCTTTAGCAAATATTGTTAATAGCAAAATCGATAATGTGTTTCTTCAGTTTGGAATCGAACGAGAACAAAATATCGAACGGTAACATTGAAGACGCCGAGACCGAAAGGTTGCGCACGGAACTCGCTGACATGCGCAAAGCGAAACTGAATGCTGAGGAACATTCTGTTAAGTACGTATAATGTTTTGCGGCTTATAGAAATTCCACTGTAGAAAATAGAAGCAACACTACTGTAGTGTACATATAGTGTATAGTTTGGATTTTATGATACGAACTGAATGACTTGATCCTACTAAAATTGGTAGTATTTGGTTGGATTTGCTTTTTAAAAACTAGTAATATTTTTTATGGATGCACTATTAATTTCACCAGCATCTTGTCTTTTTATTAGCCAAAGTCGTGGGTTAAAGTCAGTCTGTGTGTGCTGTATAATAGTATTTTTTTATATTTTTAACTTTATACTTTTTTGACATGTATGGTAATTAGAAGTATAGACGTCTAGACAAAGATATCATAAAATACTAATGCAAAGGTATGGTAAAGCTATTTATATTTGTAATACAATTATATTTTTCTTAATTTATTAGAGATATTTATTTCTTAATGTAAATATTGCTTACTATATTGCGCTCTATTAACCTTAAATAAATGTGGTGGATGGTTCACTCCGCTTTTGATTTATACCACAACACGCTTCCTTCTCTTTTGTTTTCAATAGTAGTTATTCTGTTTTATGTTATAAACTATTTCTACCCGACAAAGTAGTCTAAAGTGAACTCGTGTTGCAGACTCGAACGTCTTGTAACACAGCTACGTTCGAAATTCAACGGTCTCCAACTGACGAATGGCCCTGACTCGCTGCCGAGCGATGCCGAACACGAAACGAGCATGCGCGCGCGTCGCACTAGCGTCAACTCGGCGAACAACTCAACTGTTGTGTTCGGCCCGGTGACTGATTTGTAGCGAACGGAAATCGTGAATGCGGCAATAATTATAGCCGCAGATTTATTCTGGTCTATATTTTATAAGATTTTCTGAACAGACTATTTGTCATGTGTACGTCTATTTGATTCAGTACAGTTATGAACAAAAGTAGTTTTTTCTAAAGTATTTGATTTAGTGTCGAATCTCAGATTTTGCATCTCATTGCGTGATGCAATTTGTGTTTCATATCATAATGTAATATATATGTATTCGAATAAAATTCAATTTCTCGTGGTATCACCATTACTTTTAAATGTGTGCACATCAATGTTCAGTTTCAATTATCACCATTTAATAAGAAAATTTGTTTTATGTTATAATAAATTGTCATATATATTGTGTCTAATACTAACAACAACACTGATTGCTACTAATCCAAGTGCTCACAATTATTTCACACTGTGTTTTAACGACATCACATGTAATAATTGTTATATGTTATAATAAGTTTGAAATTGTATTTGCTCATTGATCATGACGTATTTGATTGTATTGTCTCAAGAATTTATTTTAAGTAAGAAAATGTTGTATTTAATCTGAAAATATGCAACATGTGTAAAGTATATGGTCAAGAGTTAAATTATAATAATCTGTTCTACTGTGAGCTGTTGGGAAATTTTGTCAATACTACTAATGGCAAGTTGAGAGATTTAAGTGAATACCGCAGAAATAAAACAAATGAATGGGTCTGTATTATTATTATTGTCAAAAATATACAACAACAATGATTGTAATTAAATTGAAAATTGTAGATTGGAAGAGTGGTTCATTTCGAATATATATGTTACGCTCAAAGACCGAAATCGAGAGTGAGCGAAAGTATATTTGTTCTACAGGAGTAAGGAATTTTTGAAATGCGTTGTAATAGTTTGACTAAATGTGGCCTTTTTGTGATTTCCACAACACGTCGTGAGGGACTTTATAAGAACCATATCACAAATTTGATCACGACGACGCGTTGTGAGCGGTTTGTCCCTCAATGAGCGTGCTCAAATTATGCTAAGACCAAGAAAACATTTGTTTTTTATTTACTACATTCGTACATTTCGACATTGACGGGTGGCCAGGAGTGCCAAACTTCCAATGTGACTTATCTATGTGTACAATCAAGAAGATGAATGGTATTAAAAAACTTACTTCAATAATATAGATGTTATGATTTTGAAATTTTCGAACGAAAAGCGAAAAGTTTTATTGAAATAATACATTAATTTGATGACATTTCGACTGTTTGTCCACCTGATTACCACACCCATTATTGTCACTATCACTTAATGATTACAAACACAATTACATTATAACATATCATTTACATAGCAAAATAACACACAAATGGTATTTACCGACGCGATTCGTTCTGTTGGACTTTGCAATTTTCAACAAATTGCCTTCTCACACCTTCGTATTAAAGCATTTTAATGTTTTAGGTAACTCTGTATTGTGTATGCAAATGTTTATTCTACGTTTGAATGCCATTTTCCATTAATATCTACCGCGATAAAAAATATTTCTTCAGGATTTTTTACCAATAAATAAATTACGGTGCTTGATTTTTTATTTACAAACTTTTAATTTTATAAAATAAGGTTCATTTTAAATTAAAGAAAGGTCAGTGCAGTCGTCTTTAACTTAGACATTTCTAGAAGTCCTTCCTTTCCTCTAATTTTTGCGTTTGTTTGATAATTAGTTAATCGATTACAATGGTCTGTTAATATTTTTTGACTATAACAATCAGTGTAGCGTTTTTTTTATGTCTTGATTGCAAAGTGATTGATTATTGATTGGAACTTACAAAGTAGAAGCACTTATTCGATATTAGTATATTAATAAATATTGTTAAATTTGGTAGTATGTTTGTTCATCGGTATTATCAAAATGAATATATAATTATGTAAAGTAGTTATAACAAAAACCGGTGCATGGTTAGTTGATACCCATATAAGAGGTAGATATGTAAATCATATGAAGGAAGCGTAACTAGTGATTCGAAATAGCCCGTAACGTCCCAGACATTAAAACCAAACTCAATCAAGTTTTGGTATCGCTATTTTGTAGTTCTAATAAGCTATATACCTTGTTCACTTTACCAACATCAGTGGAATTGTTAATTCCACTGATGTTGTTAATGATATGTTTGGAAAATATTATACACTTATAGAAATAATGGCAAAATAATAATACTTCAATAAAAAATTTGGCAATAAATGAACATACTCATTACAAAACTAAACGACCCCGTAGAAGATATTATAAATATTATAACAATTGACATTTGAACATCCTGAAAAAGCTCATAATGTATTAGACAATGTCTTAACGAGTGGCTCATATTATTGTGATGTTTTGTGTTATTAATTAATTATTTTAACGAATTTAATTCTCTAGTTAAGATTTTTGTGTGTGATTGTACTTGAGTGCTCTCTAAATTATAGTAATTTTCAATTTAACATGGATATATATCACGAGTGAAATAATTAACAAAATGTTTGTGACTGTCCGTCAACTTATTTATATAATGTTTAGATTTTATCTTTGTGTGTTATATTTAAGTGATTTAACTTATATATATGTAGATATACACGTACTTATTTTAACTATGGTCATAACAGTAAATATACATGAAAGTCATATATCATGTGCTAAATTATAAAATAGTTTTAATATCATAGTAAAATTTAGTTGGACTAGAAATTAAAATTCTTTAAGACACCATTGCATGCAGCTCTGGCATGGCCAGGGGTTAACCATTTTTTAATGTCACAATTTTAAAATAATGTTAACGTGTGATTTAGACGATAAAACTATTGGATTTGTAGAGAACATAACGTGCTTTGGTTCATTAGTATTTCAAAATTAAATTAGTTATTGCCACGTTTTGAATTGAACAATATTGCAGTTTTGCTTTGTCAAAAAAACATGTTTCGAATAATTCAGACAATATAATGTAAATAATCAATATTATAATTAGTGTCCGTTATGAAAAATATTGAGTAGGTCCCGACTATATTACCTTGGACTAGTGAAACTTACAATTATTAAATACTTAACCCTCTAGAATTAATCATAAAAATTGTACATGAAGGATTTGAATAGTTATTTATGACTTTTTCTTTTACCCATGTAACACTCTCCCCCACACACTAACCACCGATTAAATCCCTTAGACTGATTTTACTAATTTATTAATATCATTTAAGTCATATACCAAATTGGAGATTAAGTTATCTGTAACATAGATAGTACATAGTAGTGTGTTTAATGGAAATGTTGTAGAAAAGTAAATTTGCGTGTGTCTTACATAAATTGTTCGTGGTCGAATGTTCGCCATGAAGTTGGAACGATATTCCTAAAAATCTCGGGACGATAAGAGCTATGTCCAGGTCCTATGGCTGCCTTACTATTATAATGCATTACGAAAACAATAGCGTACACAGAGTAGCTAGATGAAGTCAAAGATGAGTGAATACTCATCTTTGACTTCATCTAGCTACTCTGTTTGGTTTCTTTGTACAGTTAATAAGAAACCAATCACGCACGGGATCCGTTAGCACCATTTTATCCAAAACCATTTGTGTTGGGTAATCTACCCAATTTTTGTGTTGATGGATTATGACTAAATAATATTAAGAAATGCCCTTCTCTATTATATAATTAGACCGTACTTATGGAAAGATTTTTAGGCTAAAAAAAGTAAAAAAAAAAATTTTAAACATACGATGTTAGGCAAGGTTTAAATAATATAGACCCTGTAAGGAGTAAGGGTAGGACACACGCAAAGTTATTTTCGTGTACAACATATATTTATGCGATCAATCAAAATAGAATTTTCTTAATACATCTAAGTATAATATAATAACCATGCACGATCAATAATAATCCTAAATCGATGTAAATTGAGCTCATTGCAATAAGTAAGCTTGTAAATTTCATATAATTGTAACATTTAATAATAATATTATATATACATATATATAAAAATTAATATATTAAGTAAATGGCTCTTTTTGAAGTTATGGCACGTTAATTATCAGAAAATATATTATTATCATTCACTAGCAAATTTTAATTTTGTATCATTTCACGACATTTCTACGTCTTTTTCTCTCTTCGCCAAAAGTTGTTCCCGGAATCTGTTTGCGAACTGCAAACTTTGTTTAAAACCTAATAAAGGACCTTGAAACAGTGGACTTGTTACTTATATTTTTCAATTTAATATGACTCAATTGGTTTAGCAATTTTTAGATGTACTTAGTGCTTATTAAAGTACGTAATGAATTCATCAAATTGTTCTGTTTTAGCATACATTTTTCTGCTTTTAGATTTGACGGAGACTAAGTGAGCGTCACTGATATTCAGCTTGCTTGTTTTTGTTTTCAGAAAATATATTTAGAGCAAAATCAATTAAATCAGGGCTCGTTTGGATTGGTAGCTTTGATCCTTTGCGGTATTCATGTACAAATAATGCATACCAACGGTTGTTGCTCGACGATTATGGGTCAGTCAGGAAAAAAGATCAATTTGTAATGTGTGTTAGTTTTTATCTTTTTTCTTTAGACTATTTGGTAGGTAATATTAAATTATTGATGACGTCAAAAAGAGCCAACGAATGAAAATGGTGCCTTATTTACGTAACTTTGTCCGCCCGGGTAAACGTATGTTGTATTACTGTTGTACTTGTGCCATAAAGGCGTGGTGCACACTAAACGCGCATCGGAGCAGCGCTGTGTTAAACAGTCAAATAACATTTCACCTTGTCGTCAATCGTTTTTGATATGTATCATCTCGCTTTTCTGCTCTCTCTGGAAGTGATTTTGGGAAACGTGACGAAGTGTGTGAAGCCGGGGCAAAACGCGCGCTATACTCGAGCTAGCCGTCAGATGTCAGTTTAGACTATGTTACACATCTTATGCGATTACTGAAAGCTCCGATCGATTTTAAATTGAATTCCCATAGTGAAATGACATCAAAAATATCCTAGG